TTCGTGTGCTTGTTTTTGGGTGGGCTGTGAAGTGATTTTGACCGGACGGAGACGAGCCGGCGGCGAGGAAGTAAGAATTGCAAATTCCAAACTCTTTAATCGCGGCGGGGATTAAAGTTTGAACTTTTAATTTTACTGGATAGATTGTTCTTAATTAAACGTTATGATACACCACAGTTGCGCCTCATATGTCAGCCGAATTTTACCCAGTTCAGTTCCATGCTATTCTACATCTGCAACTTCAATTCCCCTCATCTCGCTCCTACAACAATGCAGGACGTTGATCAATGCCAAGCTTGCTCACCAGCAAATTTTGGTCAATGGCTTCACCCAAATGGTTACCTACGCCATTGGAGCTTACATCGAGTGCGGTGCATCTGCACAAGCTGTATCGCTGCTCCAACGTCTTATTCCGTCGCATTCCACCGTGTTCTGGTGGAATGCGCTGATTCGACGTTCCGTCAGACTTGGTTTCCTCGACGATGTATTGGGGTTTTATTGTCAGATGCAGAGACTTGGGTGGTCGCCTGACCATTACACTTTTCCTTTTGTTCTCAAGGCTTGTGGTGAGATACCGTCGTTTCGACGTGGTGCTTCGGTTCACGCTGTGGTTTGTGCTAATGGGTTTGAATCGAATGTATTTATTTGCAATTCGATAGTGGCAATGTACGGAAGGTGTGGGGCGTTGGATGATGCACGCCAAGTGTTTGATGAGGTGCTTGAAAGGAAGATAGAGGACATTGTGTCCTGGAATTCAATTCTTGCTGCTTATGTGCAAGGCGGGGAGTCAAAAACTGCCCTCAGAATTGCTGTTCGAATGGCTAACCATTACAATTGCAAACTTCTCCCAGATGCTATTACGCTTGTGAATATTCTTCCAGCTTGTGCTTCGACATTGGCCCCACAGCATGGGAAGCAGGTACATGGATACGCAGTTCGGAGTGGATTGGTGGATGATGTGTTTGTAGGCAATGCTCTTGTGGATATGTATGCTAAATGCTGGAAAATGGATGAGGCAAGCAGGGTGTTCGAGCTGATGAAGGAGAAGGATGTGGTTTCTTGGAATGCTATGGTCACTGGGTATTCTCAGATTAGTCGTTTTGATGATGCTCTCTCATTATTTAAGAGGATGCAAGAGGAAGATATTGAGTTAAATGTAGTAACATGGAGCGCTTTGATCGCTGGGTATTCTCAGAGAGGCCTTGGTTTTGAAGCCCTTGATGTATTTAGACAAATGCAGCTTTGTGGGTTGGAGCCAAATGTTGTTACTCTTGTATCTCTTCTTTCCGGTTGTGCGTCTGTGGGAGCATTGCTTCACGGAAAGCAAACACATGCTTATGCCATAAAAAATATTCTCAACTTTGATTGGAATGATCCAGGTGATGACTTGATGGTTCTCAATGGTCTAATTGATATGTACGCTAAGTGCAAAAGTTCCAAAGTTGCTCGCAACATTTTTGATTTGATAACAAGGAAAAACAAGAATGTGGTGACTTGGACTGTCATGATTGGTGGATATGCTCAGCATGGCGAAGCCAATGATGCATTAGAACTTTTCTCTCAGATGTTCAAACATGAAACCTCCTTAAAGCCTAATGCCTTTACTCTATCTTGTGCCTTGATGGCTTGTGCACGATTGGGTGCATTAAGGCTTGGAAGACAAATCCATGCCTATGCTTTGCGCCATGAAAATGAGAATGAGGTTTTATATGTAGCCAATTGCCTTATAGATATGTATTCCAAATCAGGAGACATTGATGCTGCCCAAACTGTGTTTGATAACATGAAGGTACGAAATGCTGTTTCTTGGACTTCTTTGATGACAGGTTATGGTATGCATGGTCGTGGTGAAGAAGCTCTACATATTTTCGATCAGATGCAGCAAGCTGATCTTGCAGTTGATGGGGTAACCTTTCTTGTTGTTCTATATGCTTGTAGCCATTCTGGAATGGTGGATCAAGGCATGAACTACTTCCATGGCATGATCAAGTACTTTGGTGTTGCTCCTGGAGCTGAACACTATGCGTGTATGGTTGATCTCTTGGGCCGTGCAGGTCGTCTCAATGAAGCAATGGAACTCATCAAAAGCATGTCAACGGAGCCAACTGCAGTTGTATGGGTGGCGCTACTCAGTGCCAGCAGAATCCATGCTAATGTTGAGCTTGGGGAATATGCAGCAAACAAATTGATAGAATCAGGATTGGAGAATGATGGTTCATACACATTGCTCTCAAACTTATATGCGAATGCTCGACGTTGGAAAGACGTAGCTAGAATCAGGTCATTAATGAAGCATACTGGGATCAAGAAGAGGCCCGGATGTAGTTGGGTACAAGGAAAGAAAGGCACTACAACCTTCTTTGTGGGTGATAGAAGTCATCCTCAATCAGACCAAATATACGGCATTCTTGCCGACTTGATCCAACGGATCAAAGACATGGGGTATGTTCCTCAAACGAGCTTTGCTCTTCATGATGTGGATGATGAGGAGAAAGGTGATCTCTTGTTTGAGCATAGTGAGAAGTTAGCTGTTGCATATGGGATTTTAACATCATCTCCAGGACAGCCTATTAGGATAAACAAGAACTTGCGCATATGCGGTGATTGCCACAGTGCCTTGACCTACATTTCCATGATCATTGAACATGAGATCATATTGAGAGACTCTAGCAGGTTCCATCATTTTAAGAATGGCTCCTGCTCTTGCAGAGGCTATTGGTGATGGACAAATTGGGTGAGGACTTTGAGGTAATAATTATTTTACGTGTTTTGTATTTGCTCGTATGATTACAATTTCACAAGTTAACCTAGCTTAAGATGTCAACCATTACTTATGTGTTAATGTTTTGAATGATAACACTCAAATTAATGAGATGGTAACAAATAGATTGTTAAAGAAAACAACTTCTACAAATATTTAAGCAGGGAACCCACCAAATATTTAAATAGGGTTGTATCAAGCTATCGGAATGTTGGGGTCGGGCAAGTTGGGGACTTAGGCTCACCAGAAGAAAAGGAAATTTGGTAGTTCTATATCCTGATGGTTTTGTGTTTTTATTTACATCATATATGATATTAATCATTATCCTTCATTAAAGGAAAATATGAAAAAACCGAATAAGAGGTTAAGGGTAATTTTGGGAATTTTATTAGAGTGGTTATTGTAAATTGTTAAGATAACAATCCCTATAAATTAGCGTACTATAATTTTGTTTGTTAGCTATGAACGTACAATTGTAAATGACATTATTATGAATGAGAATTCTTCCAGGTTATCAAATCTAATATGACATAGTCTGTTGTTGAAGACAATTTGAGCACTTATTATCTCCATCACTCCAATAATACTAACCTGGTTTTAGTTTCCTAGTTGCTTACAGGAGACTTGCACTTCTTGGAGCGCCTATCCATGCTTATCGCCCTTTTTGTCTAGAACAGGTTGGTTGGGATTCATTGACAGAATGAACAAGTTGGTTTTCGTTGATGGCATGCTTGAAAGAACAACCGACAGGACTTACTCAATGCTTGGATTCGCAACAAAAACCATGGTAATTTCATGGACATTGATTTTGAATTTTGTATCCAAGGAGATTTTAGTCCCACATTACTTTCTCAGAGTGAGGCTGGAAACATTTGAAGGAGAGGTTTCAACTCAAGAATGCACTTTGATCTTGACCAACAATCAGTTTGCACTTACTTCACCAAGCTTAAGAGTTAAAGACAGTTTGGGATGAATAGCCTGTCGTCCTTGTAAGGTGGGGGTGCATTATTAGGCTGAGTACATGATCCGTCTGCCATTTGTCGTGTTGTTCTGCAAGAAGGCTCTGGCAAAGTTATCAATTGCTGCAATACTAAGGTTCTCTAATTTTCCCCTTCATCTCCATATACTTGCATTTAGTTTAACCCATTTAACTTGCTAAGTTTAGTTCTGGGACAATTTTAGGGTTTTGTTTTTTTACTTTACTAGGCTCGTTTGATGGTATATGCAATGTTTAATTATTGATTGATTGTTTGTAAAAATGATTGTGATTACCATCTTCAATATGCCAGTGCTTGAACTAATTAGAGATGGAAGTGATTTCTTAATTATTTTTATTCACTATTTTTGATATGGATGTACATACAACAATTGGTATGAAGTTGAAAATATCTGCTAAATTCTAGGCTTTTCTAGGCTAAATCATGAGTTGAAGATGCTACAATCTTGAAGTAATGGAAGATCAAAATAGGCAAGGCTGTGTTTGCTATTAAAACTACTATTAATGCAAGCATATTAGGGAAGCAGAGCCACCTAAATTAGCATGGGACATGTTTGCATCACTCTTCTCAAACAAAAATGATGCAAGTTGATTTTTGATTTTTGATTTTTTATATGCACGAGTGTCTAAATTATTCTTTTTAGGTTGCATGCACCTTGACTAATCTCACATGACAACCACCGGTTGAATTTTAGGGAAAATGAGTTTCTATCAATTGCATAAAGGAAGAATGACAATCCATCAATAATTCAATAAGGTAAAATTTCTCGGTTGTGAAATTTCTGATCCTACCGCTACTATTTAATAATCAAGAATGAAAAGAATAATTAATGGCCTTTAAACCTAAATATATTTTTATTTCAAATGCTAAATAGATATATATTTTTTGAATAATGAGATTAAGCATTACGTTGGTGATATCATAACCGTCTACTGCAGTTGGTAATTGTTTGTTTTTTTCTTTTTCAATTTTACACTTTCAACTTTTTGAAGATGGTGAGATGCTTCATGTTGCCCAAGCGCTCAAAAACTAACCTCTATAGTCATTTACTGAGGTAATGCAACATTTTCCAGTTAGGTGGTTCTTTCTTGCATACGTATCATTTGATGAAATTTATAAGGCTAGAGTATTTTCTGTGCTGTTGCCTGCTGTAAAGCTGTAGATGATGCAATTCCTGTACTCGACATAACTGCCACGGGCATTGATGCAAATGATTGCAAGTATCTCGAATTGGAAATTTTTAATTTGAGCAGCTCCAACATTGTAATTTCTGCTGCATACAATCCATAATTCCATATTGGTAGATTAAAAACTAGAGACATTTGTATGTTACCTCAAAGATTCTCACACTCATTTTATATCATAGTCATTCAGTAGTGAGTCTGATTATTATGATAATTTGTACCTTTCTAATGAGAATTATGTGGCAGGAAACAAAACGTTGGGGCTGGTCATTAGCTGCGACGCAGTAAATGTACTAGCAAAATGGAGATTTGATTGCTGTAAGAATTTAATTTCCTTGCTTTCTTTGAATTGGTCTGGAAGGAGTGCTACATTTTTACCCCAAAATATACTCTTCTTTTATTGATCAGCAGTTATTTAAGTTTGTTTTAACTTCAAAATTTTTGTATTTAGCAGCTATCAAGTAGCTACTTTATCTCGAAACCTATTCCTCATCGTTGTGCCAAATGAGACGCTTGTTAAAAAGTAACAAAGGATTGTTTCTTCATTTCCCAAAATATTTAGTATCTTACTTTTCTTAAGATTTGCCTGGTAATTATAATTTACTGTCCTTCCAAATTTGCTGCCATAACTTTTTGAGGCAATGCTGCATGGGTTAGAACTTCTATTTTTCTTATTGTATACGTTGACATAGTGGCCTTATTGAGGTTGTTGCCACAGCTTTTGAAGCCACACCATGGATTGTGTGGAGTCTCAATTGTGATCATTGAATTAGGTTCAAGGTTTGCCCAACTCCTTCTTAGTTCTCATCAATGGACATGATGTTTATGGAGTACGGTCTGTTCTATAAATTTCTACCTCTCTATCTTTGAGATGTTTGGATTTTTCATAACTTCGTGTGGGTGTACGATTCAGACCATGACAGCATTGCTAGGAAAGGTGTGGCAAGGTGTGGCATTGTAATGAAAGCATTGTAAAGTTAAAATCCTAATGTGTACATGATTGCATGCCAGCGGTGAAGATGCTTCGATTGACAATGATGGAAACTCTTGTGAAATTACTGACATGAAAGGAGCGGAAGGTATGTCTCCCCTTTTTGTGATTTTCTTTCTCTTGGTCGGCCTTTATTTTCCCCCAGCTATTGAAAAAAGGAATCCTTTGTAAGTTTTAAAAGGGACATTCTCCCATTTGTTTTATTTCCAAAAAATAAAAGTAACATTGATAACTACTGGGGTTGACACTTTGCCTAATCTTTTTATTTCTAAACTTTTATGTTTATTTTCTATCCCTGACCATTATTGGTTGGCCTAGCAGTCATTGGGCCAATGATGAAAGTAAAGACAAAGGGGATGGGATTTCAAACCATAGTGGTAACTTTAATGTCCTACAAATTTCTTTACTAACCAAATGTAGTAGGATAAGGTGATTGCAGCCAAGAAGTACTATCATTTCATTATGATATATATAGACGCTGACGTATCTAGCTCCAACTTAACTTTAATGCTTTCTAAAAAGTGAATAACTTTGACCAATTTTATCTTCAATATGCACAAAATGAATGTATTTTTGGATCTTTGTCATTCTCCATCAATAGAAATATTTAGATGAAATTAACAGATTTGTGCTATAAATTGTTTAGTTTAATTCCAAGTTCTCTTTTATGAGACACAGTATGAGAATTTTTTAATGTGGAGATTAATGATTGTTTCCTATTAAGTATGGAGATATGTCTCACCAAGTTAACAGTTTCAGAAGCTGTTACCCCCAACAGTTTCTACTTTTTCTCTCTCATGTTCAAGTTCTAGCTTTTATACCGCTTTTAAATTATCAAGTCATATATGTTTCTGTGTGGCCATTTTAGCAAATTTTGGTTGCTTACAAAGTAAAGGCACAAAAATTTTTTAAGACAGCCATTGAAGTTGACTCGAAATGGTGCAAATCGGTCTAGTTTGGTTATTGACCGAACATATGAACCGATCAATTTGGTTTGGGCTGGTCCAGTTCATTGGATCATTTAATTACGAAAATATTACTATATAGCAGTTCAGTTTATTGAATCATTTAATTACAAATTTACCACTCAACAGGTCCAAGCAGCTGGCCAAGTTCATTCAAGCCAAAAATTGGAACTATGGAAGATTCAGATAATGGGCAAATACACTCCCAGATTGATGTTTCAATCATATGCTTGGTTGTCCAAGTGCACACAATTGAGGTAATGACCTGGTCCACCATCCCTCATTATTTTTTGGTACACTCTTCTTTTTGTTTTTTTCCAACAAAACAACTACTGTTCTGTACCCTTCAAAAAAATGGAAAAAGAAAAATCAATGAAGATGCAGAGAAAGGAGACTATTTGGTCAGTTTCAAGTGGTATGATTTGATATGAAGCAGACCCTTTAACAGAGCTTTCTTTTGACTGCTAGTTTTGGTTGAGAGAGAGAGAGAGAGAATCAAGAATTGAATGCATCTGCCTTTTCATTCTTCATTTCATCATGCTGTGATGCGTTAGAAGGTTCCTCTCTCATGTCACATGAAAAACCTTGATGGAGGAGAGCATTATTGCTTCAAACCAAATGTGCTAGATCTAGTTTTATTTATTTTATTTTAATAATTTGGGCCCGTTTATGTTCACCTCGACATCATATCACATGTACTATCATATCAAATAGGAGTTCGGATTTTTCTCTTTAGAATTTGGAATTTTTGCCATATCGAGTTTATATACTTAACCCAGGATGATAAGATATTTATGATTTTTGTTAGCACATTAAAGATTTATTTTTCATATTTTACTATAATTTCAACGATTTATTGTTTACAGTTTGAAATAGAGGTGATTTATGTAATCTATATCTTATTAAATATGTAGAATAAATCATTTTTATTAGTTGTTTCATATATAAAAACAAATACTTGAAGACGAGTTTACATTTTTGTTTGTTTGTAAGTAAATGATCAAATCATCAACTTTTTTTATGATAATTGGTGTCTTATCCATTGGTTTTCTAGACGTGCTAACTCAAGGTTATCTTTAGTCGGTATCGTATTTTTTTTTGCTTGAATATTAATTATAATCATGGGCCATATTTCAACCACATTTTTTAACGAAACGTACGAGATTAAAGGCTAATAAAGGTAAATTATTTTGTCTTCATTGATAACATCACATATCGCTAAATATGTCAAATGTAATTATCTCCCATACATGATTGAAATCAACATTGCAAATTAGTCTTTTGAAAAGAAGAAAAAATTCAATAATATTTGATTGGAACTTTTGAAACACCGAAATGTCTCAAATTTGTGTTGACCATAATTACAAATAAAGCATCTGATTTGTCATCTCTAAACTCCTAAAACTTTGTGTTTATGAATAGAATCATATTTGATACGACAAAAAAAGGAATATTCCATGAGAAAAAACTTCAAATAAAATACTAAATTAAACCATTCCAAATCCACACATTATCAGATTTTCGTTCTATTGTGCATTTTAAATACGTTTTTTTCACTTTATCCTTCGAAGATTCATGTATCATATCAAAACCCATTATTCTTCTTCTCCCAATTGACAAAATTCAAAAAAATAAAAAAATCCGAAATTTATATACAATCTAAATTAAGAATATAGGAAAAAACAAAAGAAAAGTTGATCTAAATATTATTTTGTTTCTTGTACTTTTGGTTTTTGTTCATTTTTGTTCCTGCATTTTGAAAACTTTCATTTTGGTTCATATACTTTCAATTTTTGTTTATTTTAGTCATTCAAAACTTTCGTTTTGGCTGTCCTGATTTTAAAAAGTGGCCAATTCGGTCTCTATTTTTTAAATTCCAATACAAACTTTATACATAATGAAAATTATTTTATACAAATTTATAGCTACAGTTTAAGAAATTTAATGAGAGAAGAGAAGTATCATACTAAATTTATGATAAAAAAAAACGAGAAAAAAAAGGGGAACAAGACCAAAATAAATATTTTAAAAGTAAAGAGACTAAGATGAACAAAAGTGTGACCAAAATGAACGGTTTTATCAATACAAAAATCTAAATAAACAAAAGCTAAAAATTCGTGCATCGAAATAATATCTAAAGTGAATGAATGCTAAAGAAAAGTTTCAAAAAGATTATTGAATAAAAACCCTCCTAATAAGTCATTTGTTTGATGCACAACCACAAGTCAACAACACAACAAAAAAGTGGTTAAAGGGATTTTTCCCTTTCTTCTGATCCCTCATCTGCCCAACCCCTTTTGAGTTGGCGAAAGGAAAGAAATGCCATTTTTTAAATTAAAAAAAAAAGGAATTTGGGAATAACCCTTTTCTAATTTTGATAAAAGAAATTGAAAATGTAACTAAAAAAAAGTGTTAATAATATAAAGTTGGAAGTGCAAAACAGCTAAGATTTTATAGGAGAAATTGGCTGATTGAAAGGCGCAAATCAAGGAATCCAACACAATTGAACTGTATTTCTCTAATGAGTGTTGATTGGGTTTAGTGCTTTTTTGTGATTTGTTATCATTGAAAATGCTTCATCTTTCAACCTTTCAACCAAAAAAAAAAAANAAAAACACTTTATTTTTTTTTTTCTATAAAACAAAGATTCCATCTTTAATCAACATTATCACGGATTAAATTTGTACGATCTACTACGATTGTGGAGTTGAGTTTAATACATTTAATATGTGAGTTTTTTCAAATTTACTAATCGTGTGATGTAACAAGCTTACACCTCGTACATGAATTTGTTTATCTCAATTACGAGCTTGCAATTGTATAAACTTAATTATCAGAATTATGCATTTATTTTCACGCAAATAATAGATTTTGAAATGAAAATTAAGTTAAATACACCAGCCAATGTCATAATTGGAACCTATTTTTTCCTTTCATTTAAAGTCATTCTAAATTTTCTCTAACAATATTTTTATTTGAATGTCGCGAGCCTGAATTTCTGAAAAATGACGGAGTTTGATTGATCGAAACCAATTAAAAAAAGATAAGAAAAAAGTAGGAGAGGGAAGGACAAGAGATTATGATTGATTTGTTTAGATTGAACTTTAATTTGGGGAAGAAAAATGTAATATGTCATATGTACTATCTTTGAATCAAATTCACAAGTAGAACTAAATTGAATAAAACTTGACTTTTGATTGATTGGTATGTCCTATCATTAATAATTGATAATGAAACAAAATACAACCCACACCCACTTATTTGTTTTCATTGTAATTTAAAAATGAGTTCATTTTATCAAACCTAGTTTACCCTTTTGAAGATGTACCATCTTTATCAAACCATAAATATGAGCAAAATTCACTTGACTAATATGGATAAAATAATACAAAAGTAATTAAATAGACTATTAAATAATAAATAGTTGGATCTTTTATTCCTTAAATTATATACATTTAAATATATATTATTTTTGTTGATGTATTTTCTTGAACGATCTACTTTTAGAGCATCAAGATGAGTCGTCTCTCCAATAAATAAGTAAATCTCCTTTAGATTAACGACCTCCCTATTTAGTATAGGAAATCACTTCTAGTGAGCTAGAATTTCATTTGAACCAAGTGCTTTTTTCTTTGCCAACTTCGTATCAATTTTGTGTCAATAATTTCAAAACCTTCATTTCAGTCGTCATTACTTTAATCTATTTTGTACACTCATTCATCTAGGTTTATCTCTCCTCCTATTTTAACAAGGAAAAAAATACATTTCCACATGAACAAAATTCAAGTTCTTATCGATAAAGGCATCTTTCTACTTTCCACAATTAAAAAAATTAACAACTATTTATTTTATTTTCTCACATTTTTTTAAGATAACAGGAGGATCAAAATTCGAATACACAGCATTTTGATCGAGAATATATGTCTTAACTAGTTGAACTACATTAAAATTATTATCTCTCCTCTTCGCGATACTATGCTCAAATTACTTATCTCTCTTCTTTTATGATCCATCTTCCACATGTACCCTCAAATACCTCTCCCTCCCTTTCTCTCTCATTATAAGATAAAATGTATACATTTCCACACCCTCATTGAGCTCAAATACCTCCCTCTCTCAAACACACACCCACTCTTCCTTCTCTCTCTCCTTTCAAAAAGAAAGATTATCTCCACACAAAAAATATTTGGCTCCTTAAAACTATGATGACCAAATATTGTCCTCACTGTCATTGAAAAGTTAGTAACTCATTAATTTTTGTAAAAAGTCTCTGTTTTTGCATTTTTCTCTTTAAGTTGTCAAACATTTAATGGTGACAAGGATAAGATTTCTTCTTACCATTACAGATTTTTCAAAACTTCATGAACATGTAGAAGAGAAAGATGAGACACACTCGTTAGACCAAGACATAACTTTGACTTGTTCAAATAACAGACAATTAAGGTGAAACAGAGTCAAGAATAACAAATCTCTTTTATGATAAACAGATTCATTTTGCAAGTTCGTTATTACAGTAATTCCTACAAAGGACTGAACTAATGACGTATACAGTACTAGAATTCTTAATGTAAACGTTACGTAGTGGGTTCTCATCATTTGGAGACTACGAATGTACTAGAAGCATCCATCGACCAGAAGATGACCCATGTATATTTTTCCTCCCTCCCTGTCACTCTCTCTCCTCTCTCC